TTAAACCTGCAATTGAAATAATGGAAGTTGGCTTCTGAAGCATCATCATGGAGTCTGAAATCAGCTCTTGCCATGTCTTAGATTAAAAGGGCGTACCCGGTGCATGAGGTTTTCGTTATTGCAGGGTGGGTTAGATGAACGTAGTCTTTCCCTATGGGTGGAGAGGTTTTTTCTGCGATTCGAACTCATGACTTTTAGGTCACAATAGAACAACCTTACTGTTGCCATGTCTTAGACTAATGCTATAAATTACATATTTTCATCTTGGTTGGTTCAATGTAGGAATTTTCTCTATTAGAGTCTTCAGAATGAAATTTCGATAATGTAGATCATTTTTTGTATACAAGTAGAGAAGTGGGAAAAGTCCTTATTATTGAGTACCAAGTATAGTGGATAATTAACACAAACTAAATCTTGCATAGTCATTGAAGTGAAGGCATTCGAGAAATGCTATCACCTAATAAAGCGTATTCAGTGAGGTTGATGACTTGCAATTGTGGTTCTCTCTGCTAACTGTAACAGTGGCAATTTGGACTCAATATTTTTCACAGTTCACATTATCTGTAAGTTGATATGGACTATGGAGTCCTGAGTCTGAGAAATGGTGAGCTTGCAATTTTCTCATGTTTTGATGACCATGTTGCAGTGATCTTGTCATGCTTATCGGTTAAAAATGTACAAGATGGGTTCAGTGCAGTAGCTTTGCCTGTCCTGTGTTTGTATCACGCTGAATCTGCTGATTGGCCTTTCCTCAATGTGGTTGTAATGTTTCTTGATGTCAAACCTGCACATATGAAAGTGGTGTTATTCCTGCCAGGATCGCCTTATATTGAGCTCCGAGAAAAGATATGATCTCTATGTTGCACAATGAAATATGATTGCTGATGAATACAAGAACTAATGAAGAACTTTATTCTTCATGAAGTTTTTCTTTTACTCTCATTCCTACTGATGGAGCAAAATATGGTAACAAAGGCAATTTGCAAAATGGCCCTTTTATTTATTGTTGATGGGAACCTTGCAGAAATCTTGCAGAACGACACTTTTTAAGTGTTGTTGCTAGGAAACTTGCTGAAAACCTCCACAATATTGCTCAAAATCTGAGTCAATGATGAAGAAAGCTTTACTTCTTGATATAAATGAGCCCCTGCTCCATCCCATTCCCCTTTTGTCAGTTTAAATTGACGATGACCAATCCTGCATGATTATCCATGAAACTAAGACTGTTAGATTGTCTTTTTTGAGTAAGCCAATTAAACACGATATTCATATTCCATGGAGAATTAACTACAGATATGGACCTGTTTTATCATCTGCTGATGTCTAATGTCTTCTTAAGTTAATCTTTCTCAGGTTCTCCTGTCGGATCGAGCATACACTACCAGAGATTTGCAATTAATTTGCAGAAGCACCGACTTGGCCCAACCCATAAAACTTGCACCAGTAGGCGGTTGCTCCTTTTTTCTGATTCCAAACAAAATAGAATGAACTGAAGCAGTGGGTGTTGTGGTTGCCGAGGAGCGAGTTTGGGGGTCACCAACTCTTATTTCCTGGGTTTCTGTTGTTTTTTAACGCCTGTAAGTTCTTCCTACATGCCATTTTCTAACATATTGCTGTCCATTACCATCCGTGAGTTATTTTTAGACATTGCAATGCACACTGACTAAATCTTGCAGATTTTGATTTTGTAATGGATTCAAAAGAAGGGAAAGTTGTCAGCATTCAGAAGCATTCACCTGAAAAAAGGAATTTTACGCACTCAAAGTAAAGACCTGTTAATGCCACTGAAAGACTTCATGACTCACAGGAAGATGCAATTTTTACTGGGAGATTCATTGAGAGAACTACTGGTGGACTTGGGCTCGTTTAAGTTTCCAAGGATCGGAAACAATGGAGGGGCTTTAAAGTCAGGCTATTTAGGGCTTCTGCAACCACTTTATCAACCTGAACCATTGTAAGTGTATTCATTTTGCTTAAGATGGTTTTACAGCTTGTTCATCTGTTTCTCATGGTTTACATCTAGCTCTCTTTTTGTTTCATAGGTAATATTGCTACGTATGTTCGGTGATGTGCGAAAGGAGTGATAATTTTCAGTACGGCAAATCATGAGTAGTAAACGGATTGCATTAGCGTCGTAGTTTATGACAATTTATTACACGGGTTAGATTAGAATTTGACTAGTATTCAAAACAAATTCAAAACAACTCAATTCAAAAACAACACGGTTAGATTTACTGGAGAATCATTTGCGGTGGTTGTTCTTACACTTAACTTGACTACATTGAAACTACATCATTAAATTCTCAAATTAGGTTGAAACCCTCAGTCCGGAGAGTCACTCACCTGTTCTTGTTCTTGTCCTGAGCCAGGTATAATTGAGTTGTTAGGGCAGGCCCAAATGTCTGAATAGTTTATTTTCAATAGGGTAATTTGGAAACCGGTACAAAATATTTAGACTTATTTGACATAAATTACATTAAGGAAACTTATTTAACCTTAAGTATAATTTTTTGAAAAATAAACTAAAAGTGTATTTATTGCTCCATTATTCTCTCTCTCCTTTACTCTGAAAACTCTCTGTTCCTTATTTTCTTTCTCTCATAATTTTTTTTTGAATATGTAAAGATTTGATTTAATTTTTTTATCTCTCTCCCCCTATTTTTTTTCTCTCTCATTCCCTCTACCCTTATCTCTTTATTCTCTTCATTTTTCTCTCTCTTTTTATATCAACGTTACAAAAACACAATTACACTAATTAGTTACTCATGTGTTCTAATAAATCAAACAATTACACTAAACAATTATACGAAATTATAACACCAACTCAATTTGTCATTTAGTTATTTACATAAATCAAAGAGTTACATCATTTAATATCACGACATTATTACATCAATTATATACACAAAATTGGATTTATCATTGCACAAAAGATTTTATCATTATACTAAAATTGATATATATGATTAGTGTAACGATATCGCAATACTAAATAATGCAACTATTTAGTTTATGTATACAGTTGAATAACAAATTGAGTTGGTGTTATAAATTTGTGTAATTGTTTGGTTTATTAGAACGCAAGAGTAATTGTTTTGTGTATTATAAAATAATTGTAACTTATTGGTGTAACTGATTAGTGTAATTGTGTTGTTGTAATGTTGATATAAATATATAGAGAGAGAAAATAGGGAGAGAGAAAAAAAATATATAAATGTTAGTGTAAGTCAAAATTTTGACGTTGTTTAATACCCAATCTTACAAGGTTGTCTTATGCTATTTGGCACATTTCAATGAAGTCAATAGTAGGTGAAGTTTCCTAGAAATCCGCTTGCCTATACCTACCTGGATATAAGACATGGTAATTGTTAACGAGGATCAGCAGTCCATCCGATGAAAGAGAGACAAAGATTATTTAATAAAAATTTATTAAAACATCTATTTTCAATTGGATAAAGTGGAAACTTTCTCGAAAGTGTCGCCTTTTTTATTTCCATCTTCTCTTTAATTTGGTTTTGAATGAGATCAAAATGTTAGCCAGTGTAGGTTACTCTAGGACATAGAGAGTAAAGTTTCTTGATCCATTCACGGGGATTGAATACCTTACCCCAAAAAAAGTTGGTATATTAAATAGGGACTTGACTACGGTATTAAAGAAAAAATGTCGGTATTATAATTATAATTTATATTATTTTAATGAGTATTTTTAGTAATTTTTATAGATCATTTACAATAATAAAATTTATCATTTTTTGGGAGATGTTTTTATCACTATGAGTGATTTTACTATATTTCTTATAAATATTGTTACCACTTTTCTTTTGTATAAAAAAAATTATCACTTGAGTGGGTGATTTTCCATATTTTAGGGTATTTTTACCACATTTGTGAATGTTTTTATTATTGTTGTTGTAACTATTTTTATCATTTTTTTGGATACCACAACAGTGGTAAAAACACCCACAAATGTGATAAATAAAAGTATGATACCGATTTTTTTTTGGGGACGAGGGGTTTATTCCCGCATCTTAAATCTCTTTTCTCATCTCATTTAATCACCTTATTTCAAACTATTAAGTTCAATCAATTAGTTATTAAGTTTACCTCATTTATATATATCTTTAATTAAATTATAAAATGTGCCAAAAAACTGAAGCAAAAATAATAATTGAAGCAAAATTTTAATATTTTAAGGTGTTTTAAGATATTTTCACTGATATCTTTGGAATATTTTGAAGTGTTTTAAGATATTTTTGTTAATATTTTAAAAGTAATTATTAATTTTTATTCTGCATTTGAAATATTTTTTTGTATCAAAATAATATATCGAAACAAAATTTTGATCATTTCCTATATAGTTAGTTGAAATAAAATTAAATAAATTTCATTTTTAATTAGTGAATATAGATGAGGTGGGTTTAATAACTTATGAGGTGAACTTAAAGATGATTAAAGGTGATAGAAAAAGAAACTTAAGGAGAGAGAATAGTCCAATCTTTTTTTGTTCTCGGTTCCGTAGTTAACTCCATTAAATAGAGAGAGTATGACCCATTCATGTTTCTTGACCATCCACGTTGTGTCATATTTGGATAGTATGATTTCGGTTTATATTATGTTGAATTTGCATAATGTTTGTGTATATAAAAAAAATAGTTTTAAAATATTTTATGTAATTTTAGACTAAAAAATAAATTAGTCATGTTTAACATTAATTAGATTTATTTATTATTTATATTAATTAGGCGAATCGTTTTTAAATTCATATCATGTCAAATTAATGTGATTTTGTCTAAAGTTGTTACATCTAATTATAATTAAAAAAAAAACTCCTGAATTTTTTATTGGTATATTTGTTTGGTCGTCAAATTGTCGGTTGGCCCGTTTCATACCAAACACAAGACAATGAGTGTGACCCACGTGGCCTATAAACAATCCAAACATCTCTTTCGTTTAAACCTGAACTTTCCTTTCATATTCCCTCCCCCCCTCTCTCTGTCTCTCACACACACACACACATTCTGCCATGGCTTCCGACACCAAGGAGGTAGTCACTGACCTCGCTCCTGTCCTCCGAGTCTACAAAGACGGCAAGGTGGAACGACTGGTTGGCTCAGCCTACGTCCCACCGTCTCCCAACCACCCAGCCACCGGCGTCTCCTCCAAAGACGCCGCCATCTCACCACTCATCTCCGCCAGACTCTACCTCCCCAAAACCACCACCACCACCCCCCAAAAGCTCCCCATCTTAATCTACTTCCACGGCGGAGGCTTTTGCGTGGAATCCGCCTTCTCTTTCTTGGACCACCGATATATGAACCAAATTGCCTCTCAAGCCAAAGTTCTTATAATTTCAGTCGAGTATAGGCTCGCTCCAGAGTACCTTTTACCTGTGGCTTATGAAGATTGTTGGGATGCTATTCAGTGGGTCGCTTCACACGCCGTTTCCGTAAATGATGATGGCGAAAATAAAGAGCTCTGGTTGATCAACCATGGTGATTTTGAGAAGGTTTTCATTGGAGGAGACAGTGCCGGAGGTAATATCGTACATAACATCGCCGTGCGTGCTGGTATTGAGAGCTTTAATGGTGATTTGAAGATCTTGGGAGCTTTTCTTTCTTGCCCTTACTTCTGGGGATCCAAGCCTTTGGGATCGGAGTCGAGTGAAAGCCGTGAACCGAGTATGCTTTACATGAGTGAAAGCCGTGAACAGAGTTTGCTTTACAGGTAAGGTAACAATTTGGTACTCAAAGAGACGGTGGAATTAGCTGAGTTTATGGGTCATGAAGTTTTCGACACGAACTAGAAACTTATGAGAATGAGAAAATAACACGCGACCTTTTAGCACCAATAATAAATGAATTTGATTATGTCAAAACATCTGACTATTGACACCTCCTATATACAGGATGTGGATGTGTGCTTATCCTTCGGCGCCTGGTGGCATCGACAACCCAATGATCAATCCATTAGCGGATGATGCGCCAAGCTTGTCTGGGCTTGGATGCTCGAAGGTGTTGGTGTGTGTTGCAGGGAAGGATCCTCTAAGGGACAGAGGTGTACATTATGTTGAGGCTGTGAAAGGAAGTGGATGGACAGGTGAAGTGGAGGTGTTCGAGGTTGAAGGAGAGGACCATTGTTTTCACATCATCAATCCTGACTCTGAGAATGCAAAGAATCTCATAAAGCGCTTGGCCTCTTTTATCTCTCAGTGAACCTGTTCTGGTTGTAAGTTTCTTCACTATCCATTTATGCGATACGGAATTCTTTGCATTGGATTTGATTAAGACTATGATATCGACAATTAATTTCAAATCATAGATTTTATTTTTATTCATTAATTGTGAAAATAACATACAATTTATATGCCCTTTTGATTTAAGGTGAGGGGCACATTTGTAATTTTAGTTCTGGTCTCAATTCCCTTGTTTGAATACCACCCCTAAATGGGTGAGGTTAATTTGGAAGGGTGACTTATATTTTGTTTAAAAATTCTCACTTTATAATCTTTAAAGATTAAATTTTTTATGTTATACCTTTAATAAATTAAAATTGTTGTGTGGGACCCGGTCATTAACCTCCGTTACTATTTTGTCAAACGTCAATGGGTGGAGTTTATGAAATGAGCAATAAAAGCTGACGACAAGATAATATTACAACAATTTTAACACTTCTTTTTTCTTTCCATGGAATTCCACTTTGTTGATTGCTCACCAGAGATTGTTTAGAACTAATGGTTCATTATCCGACAAGTACTATTAGAGAGTTATTGTTTTGGGCAGAGGATGTCGTGAATGTGACAGTCGATGGTGGAGCAGTCACCTGGTGATAAGTAGTTAAGTTTAGTGAGATTACTGTTTTGGCAGAATAGTAAGACTTTGCTAAGGTTTTATCAGTAGTTAGTTTGCTGATTTTTCTAAGTGTTGTCTTGATTGAACATGGGCCAAGGTTGCATTAAACCTCTACTCAGATTAATGAAAGTTTCTTCTCAACTTTGAGAAGACCCCATTAGATACTCACCTGTTAACTATTTAGTCTACAATCCGTGGCCAATTAGACACTTATCAGAAAACTTCCGCATTATTGCTCAAAACCTGAGTCAACGACCAAGAAAAAAAGGGCCTGATTAATTTGCATGTCAGAAACTGTTTTTTGTTTTGGAAAATAGTTTTTAGAAATAAAGTTGTTTGGCCAACTACTTTTTTTTTTTTGAAAATCGAGAACAAAAAGTGAGTAGATTTAGAGAATAAGTTAAAATTTTTTTGTATAGTTTTTGAAACAACTTCAGAATTTAGAAAACACCACCCACCACCATCATCACATTTTTTGTTTTTATTGTTTTATAGGTTACTGTCAAAACAATTTTTACTGATTTCTATTATGTAGAATTGTTTTTGGAATTACATAATAACATAAGTTATGCGACACAAAAAATACAAAATAATTTTTTTAAATATTTTTTGAGACGCAAAGCAAATAGGGTCTTAACTTCCTATAATAAACGAGCCCCCGCCCCTTTTTTTGTTGGCGGGGTGGGGAGTTGTGATCGATTATTGACTGTTAAAAACAATAATTGGACAATCCTACATGATTATCCGTCTAATTAAGACTATGTTAGTGCAAAATGATACGAGATTTCATATTTAGTGCAAAAATTAACCAGAGATCCGTAATTACTTTGCAAATGCGCTTACTTGGCCTTTGTGACTGTTGGTAGATGTTCCTTTTTTCTTATTCCTAAGAAATTCTAATTTTATTGCACTTTAGTATTGTGAAATGGTTGTTTTATATTGTTGCCCGGGCGAAGCCAGGATATCTCATTGGTGGTGGCATGAAGGATCTTTCGTGAATATCCTAATCTTGGTGTGAATGACCTATTTTTGACCTAACCGGATCGAGGTGCATATTACAGAAAAAATGTTGTGTGACTCATGAGATTCGATCCAAAGATGAACACGCATATGATGCAACCAATGTACTGTCTTCTTGTTTTCACTTTGTTAAGTACTAGTAGTCCTCTTAACCACACTCCCTTTCCTCTGGTTCAGAAATTGAGTCCAGGAAAAACTTTTTTTTTTTTGTGTTTTGAACAGACAATATTTTCTACCCCATTTCATGTGCGTGGAGATGACTTTTTTTTCTTGTGTTTTGGACACATCATAGTTTTTTCCACCCCATTTTCCGGGTCTAGAAATTGGGCCCGGGAAAAGACTTTTTTGCGTGTTTTGGACATACACGTTTTTAATGTGCGATTAGTTGGTTGGTACTAAATGCCATGAAAAAGAGCCAAATATTATTCAACACCCAATTTCTATATATCATTTATTTTCAATGGTTAAGTGGAAGTTCTAGAAAGGTTGGCTGCATTTATTTTTCATCTTTCCTTTATTTGGTTTTTAATAAAACCAAAATTCCCTGCCTGACCCATTCAAGATTTAAGGTGGAAATACATTTTTCAGTATCTTACTTTTGTTTTTTGTTTAATAAAGAGTTGACACGTATAAAATTTGTTTATTTTATTATTTTTACAATTAATGATTCTAAATCGTCTAAAACCAAATCAATGGTTAGCGTTGGATTTCGGCATTGTGCTAAATCGATATTGTAGTCTTATCCTCATGGTATAAATGACGAAATAGTGATGTGCAGTTGTACCTATAAACTAGTTTTTATACTATATTTTTAATTTTTTATTAATCAAAGTATGATGCATATAATTTTATTATTTTATTTTTAAATTAAAAATTATTTTTAGTATGATAGCAAAAAGTACTTTTCAGTACCATAGTCACTTGTAGATAACCCCCAATCAATAATTATCTTTTGTAAGTTAATTTTACTTGTGAAATCTTGAATTTTCTAATAGAAGTCTTGAATTTAAGTATGAAAACAAAAATTACGAGTTTTGAGGAGGAAAAAATAATTAATATTAAAATTTCATAGTTAATCTGTAATATATGAAATAAGGGGGAGCAGAGTGTAATTATTGTAACTTTTATGCTAGCCCATTTGTCATTCACGTCACGTGGATGACTCTTCTAGTGGACGAAGACAACGAGATAAATAAGAAAAGATTAAAATAATAGAATAAAGGAACAAGTCATCAGTGTTCTTGACTATGGTGACGGTTGTGTACGTAGTCGAGATATGGGGTTGGGTTTCTGAGTCGAACGGGTTTGAGTCAAGTTTAAAAAATTTATTTTTTAATCGAGTTATAAAAATTGATCAAGTTTGATTTTTTTAAAAACGAGTCGAGTCTAAACGAGTCGAACCTAAGTATTTGTATATAAACAAGCCGAGTTTGTCGACTTTGAGTCGAGTTTGAAAGACTTGTATTTTTAAACGATTTTAAAAACTTGTTTAAGTACAGATTCGTTTAAAAAACGAATCGAATCTGAACGAGTTGAACCTGAGCCGAACTCAAGTCAAACTTGAATAGCTTAGTTTGATTAATAATCCTATCTCAAACATACTTGACAAGAGATAGACACACAATAGAAAATTCCTCTACTTCGATTCTTGCCTCTTTAGTATTTCCAATCCGAGATAAGGGATTACTCTGTTAGAAATGAACCCCCTTACGTTGTTTCATGCTTTTTCTTGAATCTCTTTATAAAGAGTGATTTATTGATTATTTTTTATTTGTATTCCAATTAGTGTGGTGTGATTATAAAATTCTCATTGAATTTTTTTTTTGAGTATAATCCATCGGACAATAGATCCGTAAAATTGAGTTGAGGTATCAGATCTGTGTTATGATCTTATATGAAGAGTGATATACAACGAATGTGTTGACCCATATCTCTTATGCGAGATACTTTATATTTATTGTAAATCCTTTATTTAATTGGTTATTCAATTGTATTAATCGTTGAAGATATTGCTTTTTTTTTTATATTGTATACTTTTCTGCTATATTTAATATTTTTAGATTTTTTTTTTGAATAGATAATATTTTTAGGTTGATCTGCAAGCAAAACGTGTGTTTGGTAAACTACTAGGTGGATTTTTTTGAAAAAAAAATAATATTATTTAAATTTAATTTATTAACCTAATATACTACAATTATTAAATTAACAATAAAACTTCAATCTAATAGATACAGGGAATTAGTAAGTTAATAAATTAAGGCTAAAATAACTTAATATTCTCCGTCGCGTTCATGTCGATTTGTAAAGTTGCTGCCATTAATTTTAATTAGAAATCTTGAAATATTTTTACCACTACTATGTTTTGAAATTTCTTAAATAGTTGTAATTTTTTTTAATGAATTATAACTCGACTCTTAAACATTATAATTTAATCATAACTTCTATAATCGATCACAACAATTGAGGATCGATTATGTCATTTAGTTATAATTTACCACTTAAAAAATTATAATCTAACAGTTATATTTTCAGAATGGTACTAATGTGTTATTGCCAGATCTATATAATAAGAGAGTTATGAGTTTGAATTTTATCATTGTATATTTTTTTTCGCTCATTTCTATCACAAGTTAAAATATTTAATTTTTATTAATTAGTGACTCAATATAATTTTTATTTTGGATATTATTTATACACGATAATGTACGCATATTAATATTTTTTTTAGTTCATATATTTTGAAAAAAAATTGTCTATTTTTGAAAAAAAATAATGGGTAAAAATTAATTGTATAATTATTATTTAATATAATGATATCAATTTTTTTTTAAGTCCGTGTAATATTATTCTTCTTTTAGACATGGGTTAAAGCTACTTTCCCTATATAATGTATCCCACATTGCTTTTTGTTTAGGATCCGTTTGATTAAGAAAAAAAATGATGAATTGTGAAAATGATAGAGAATAAAGTGAAAGAAAAGAAAATAATAAAAAATATATTTTGATGTATGTATTTGATTAAAATGAAAAATTTACGGAAAAGTTTTAAAAGAATTTCATTCTATTTTTTGAAAGAAAAGAAAATTATAAGAAATTTTTTATAATTGTCTAGATTACCTTTAATTATATTAAATTAGTTTAAAAAGAAAAAATATATGTAATTATAATTAAATTTTTTTTAAAAAGTGACTCAAATCTTAATTCTAGTACAATCACCAAGACAACGGTCTTTAGGCCAATTAATATAATTAATTAAATTCATGCCAATTTTTTTTAAAATTAATAACTAATAAAATATTTTAAAAAAAATAAGGATAAAATAAAAAATTAGTTATAGTTCACAATTTTCTTGTATTTTATAGTGTTTTTTACAAAAAAAAAAATTAGTTATTCATAAAAAAATTGAAGTATAAAAAAATTTATTTTTTCATCATATTCTTTTTCGTACTAACCAAACTCATACAATTTTTAAAAAGTTTTTTTTTTTTTTTTTTTTGCATCAAACGAATCCTTACGCCTCTACATCTCTCTCTCTCTCTCTCTCGCGCATGGCTTCCGACACCAAGCAGGTAGCCACTGACCTCGCCCCTGTCCTCCGAGTCTACAAAGACGGCACGGTGGAACGACTCTTTGGCTCAACCCACGTCCCACCATCTCCAGAAGACCCAACCACCGGCGTCTCCTCCAAAGACACCACCATCTCACCACTCATCTCCGCCAGACTCTATCTCCCAAACCTCCCCAAAACCACCACCACCAACCAAAAGCTCCCCATCTTAGTCTACTTCCACGGCGGAGGCTTCTGCGTCCAATCCGCCTTCTCTTTCTTAACCACCGATACATGAACCTAATTGCATCTGAATCGAAAGCTCTTATAGTTTCAGTCGAGTACAGGCTCGCTCCAGAGCACCCTTTGCCTGCGGCTTATGAAGATTGCTGGGATGCTACTCAGTGGGTCGCTTCACACGCCGTTGACGGAAATGATGATGGTGGCGATAAAGAACTCTGGTTGATCAACCATGGCGATTTTGAGAGGATTTTCATTGGTGGGGACAGTGCTGGAGGTAATATTGTACATAACATCGCCATGCGTGCTGGTGTTGAGAGCTTTCATGGCGATTTGAAGATCTTGGGAGCTTTTATTTCTTGCCCTTACTTCTGGGGATCCAAGCCTATGGGATCGGAGCCGACTGAAAGCCGTGAACAGATGTTGCTTTACAGGTAAAATAGACGGTGGAATTAGCTGTGTTTATAAAGTTTTTTCTACACCAAATAAAATTTATATATATTAAGGTAGTTCAAATGATAATTAGAACGAGTTTTAAGTTTAAATCTTGACATTTTTTTAGAATCAAGTTATATAAGGTTTATCTTTTATGAATTCTCTAGTCTTTACGTATAAGTTAGTTCGGACAACTCCAATTATAGAACTAAAAAAAAAAATGAAGTAAAAAATTATACAAATGAGACAATAAAACACACGACGCTTTAGTGCGAATAATAAATAAATCAAGATTAATGTTAAATATGAAAAATATAATCTAAGATTCGTTAAAAAATTATTTAATTTAATCATTTGTTTCATCTTTTGGGCAAATATTGTACGACTCTTTGTATAATTAAACCATTTTCTACTTAACCTTTCTAACATGAGTAATACTAGATTGATTAAATTTTGAAATTAAATTTAGAGTTTAAATTATATGACAACATATTATTTAGAGTTTTTATTGGGGTCCAAATGACATGATATCAAATAAAAAAATTCAAGTCAACGGTCATGTCATTTGAACTCTAAATTTGATCAGTGTAACATTAATGTTCTAACATACAAACCAAAATGATCTTAATTTAAACTGTGAATAGTGAGTTTAATCAAGATGACACGGTTAAATAGGTCTAATTATGTCAAAATATCTAGCACGTTTATTTAAACGTGTGAAATTAAGATTAATTAATAATATCGACAGATTCAAATTGACATGTTACGATATATAGATTGTGGATGCGTGCTTATCCTTCGGCGCCTAGTGGCATTGACAACCCAATGATCAATCCATTTGCCGGTGATGCGCCAAGCTTGTCGGGGCTTGGATGCTCGAAGGTGTTGGTGTGTGTTGCAGAGAAGGATCATCTAAGGGACAGAGGTGTACATTATGTTGAGGCTGTGAAGGAAGGAAGTGGATGGAAAGGTGAAGTGGAGCTTGTTGAGGTTGAAGGAGAAGACCATTGTTTTCACATCATCACTCCCGACACTGAGAGTGCAAAGAATCTCGTAAAGCGCTTGGCTTCTTTTATTGCACAGTGACTTTGTTCGTTTTTTTTTTTACCGTAGGTGTCTATAAATTTACGTCAATTATACGCTTGAACTTGAATGTTAATCGCTCATCATGAGAAATGAATTTGTTCCTGTTGTGTAAGTTTCTAAATGTATGGCACATGTAAGGAATGCAATTTTTAGTTAGAGTTATGTTCAATCGAAAGAATCATATAGTAGCATATGAGATTAATGTTTAATTTTTCTAGTTTCTGTTATATATATATAATATATATGCTTGAATTTGAATTTTGACAACTTCTTAGAGTTTGTCACAAGAGATTTATCTCTTTTAAATTTTTTAGTTTTGACATGAGTGACCTGTATTTGAACGGATCGTAAAGAAGATTAATCGAAATGCGCATAAGATGATTTGAATATTCTTGACTATTAAACTAAAAAAAGAAGAAGAAAATTTTAACGGTTCGGATTGATAAACACTCAAGGTTCGGACATCTCATCGTTCAAACTCGATGGCTGAATTTAACCACATGATTCTCATTAGGCGGCGCCAAATTTATTTATATATGAGTTGAATCTAATAGTATCACTATTAGGTACAACAATATAAAAAATGGTGAACCAAAGTTTCCTAGTTTAAAATAAGTAAGAAAAACGGATAAGTAAGAAAAAATTAAAATCTATACAATAAAGTACTTTACAATTCAAATTTCAAAAGATAAATAAAATGATTTTTAATATTCGCGGTTGAGATCTCTTTAAAATTTACTTTAAAATTAATCTAACGACTAATATTAATACCCTAAATTTAGTAGGAAAAATAGGGCTTTTGAGTGACTTTTTAAAAGTACTTTAGAAATTATTTTTCATAAAAATATTTTTTAAAAAATAGTATTTGAAACAGTCCTACCACCACTACTTCCGCCACCACCCCAACCCCTACCACCACCACCGTTGCCGCCACCAGCGCCATCGTCGTCGTCGCCACCACCGCTATCGCCACCACTATCACCATCATTGCCACCACCACCACCACTGTCACTATCGCCATCGCCACTGCCACTGCCACCACCACCACCACCACCATCCCCCCCACCGTCGCCGCCAGCACCACCACCACCACCACTGCCACCACAGTCATCGTCACCCACCACAACCATCACTGTCTCTTACCACCCCCACTGCCATCAATCACCTCTTACCTCAACTACAAATTGATATTTAAATTCATTTATCTGTTCTCTATGTTTGTAATTTGATTTTGAATATAAATAAAAATATATTTATTATTTACCATTTTTTATTACTCTATGTCTTCAGGCATATACAATAACTAGTAATAGAATAAAGGAACAAGTCACGTGTGTTCTTGAATATGGTGGATGTGTACGTAGTCTATATCTAAGGCATACTTGACAAGAGAAAGACACAAGTGGTAGAAAAGTCCCCAATTTCAATTCTCGCCCCATTAACATTTTCGATCCGAAATAAGGGATTACTCTGTTAGAAATGAACCTACTTTCCTTGCTTGTTGCTTCTTCTTGAATCTCTTTACATAGAGTGATTCGATGATTATTTTGAATTTGTATTCCAATTAGTGTTGTGTGATTCTCATAGAATTTTTTTTTGAATATGATCCAATGTATCGTCGAACAAGAGATTTGTGGGATTGGGTTGAGGTACACATTTGTGTTATGATATTGTATGAAGAGTGATATATGAAATAAAGCGATGCTATAGGCACCTAATTTACATACCTAATTCATTATGACATTTGGATTAACAGAAGGACCCAACAAACATTGAAATTTGGTGTTGATCCAATGATTCTACTAAAACTATATCATTAAGTCAACAAACTAGGTCAGATTTTTAAGTCCAAATAGTATTACTCCATGAAGTATGTGTTGATTCATATCTCCTATTTGAGAAAATTGATATTTATTATAAATCCTTTATTTAATTGGTTATTCGATTGTATTGGTCATTGAAGATAATGCTTCTCTTTATATTGTATACTTTTCAGTTATATTTAATACTTTTAAGTTGAAAACGAAATATTTAAAAAATCAATATAGTTTTTTTTTGTGATTTGAAACCGGGAGAATTATGCATATTTGAAGACTAAATTAATAATTGTGTAAGGGATGAAACCCTCCACTCAGGATTTCGGCTTGACCTCCGCGCGTTCGGGAGTAGCCTTTACCCCTCTTCCTGAGCCGGAGCCCTGGCCTAGCCTAATGTGGGGAGGGCGCACCGTATCCCACATCGGAAGAGAGTCGTCTTCCCCCCTCGCATATAAGCCCTTGCACTCAAAGGAGGAGGTACCCACTAGTACCTGATCAGGTCGCTAGTGGGTACCTCCTCCTTTGAGTGCAAGGGCTTATATGCGAGGGGGGAAGACGACTCTCTTCCGATGTGGGATACGGTGCGCCCTTCCCAGGCTAGGCCAGGGCTCCGGCTCAGGAAGAGGGGTAAAGGCTACTCCCGAACGCGCGGAGGTCAAGCCGAAATCCTGAGTGGAGGGTTTCATCCCTTACAAAAATTCGGCTTGACCTCCGCGCGTTCGGGAGTAGCCTTTACCCCTCTTCCTGAGCCGGAGCCCTGGCCTAGCCTAATGTGGGGAGGGCGCACCGTATCCCACATCGGAAGAGAGTCGTCTTCCCCCCTCGCATATAAGCCCTTGCACTCAAAGGAGGAGGTACCCACTAGCGACCTGATCAGGTACTAGTGGGTACCTCCTCCTTTGAGTGCAAGGGCTTATATGCGAGGGGGGAAGACGACTCTCTTCCGATGTGGGATACGGTGCGCCCTCCTTTGAGTGCAAGGGCTTATATGCGAGGGGGGAAGACGACTCTCTTCCGATGTGGGATACGGTGCGCCCTCCCCACATTAGGCTAGGCCAGGGCTCCGGCTCAGGAAGAGGGGTAAAGGCTACTCCCGAACGTGCGCCCTCCTTTGAGTGCAAGGGCTTATATGCGAGGGGGGAAGACGACTCTCTTCCGATGTGGGATACGGTGCGCCCTCCCCACATTAGGCTAGGCCAGGGCTCCGGCTCAGGAAGAGGGGTAAAGGCTACTCCCGAACGCGCGGAGGTCAAGCCGAAATCCTGAGTGGAGGGTTTCATCCCTTACAAATTGTAATTTTATTAAGACAAGTATCATTCTATCATTTTCAATTGAATGTAAATTGTCAAACCTTCATCCAATAACGTCTCAAGAAATCGGGGCGTTACACTAGTATTAAATGATGATGTAGTAATACAAACGCCATAGTATGAACGTTATATTAAATGTAACACTTGGGTGACGATAAATGGTCACACCTTTGAAATATTCCACAAAAAGTGTGTTTGGTAAACTACTAGGCAGATTTTTTAAAAATTATAATATAATATTATTTAAATTTAATTTATTAACCTATTATATAAATTAACAAGAAATTTTAATCTAATAGACAAGGAATTAATAAGTTAATAAATTAAGTCTAAAATAACTTAATATTCTCCTTTGCCTTCATGTCGATTTGTAAAGCTGCTGCTATTCATTTTTATTAAAAATCTTGAATTTTTTTACTACTACTATGTTATGTTATGAAATTTCTTATATAGTTGTATTTTTTTATGAATTATAATTTATTTTTTAAAAATTATAACTTTATCATAACTTCCATAATCGATCACTACAATTGAAGAATGATTATGTCATTTAAAAATTATAATTTGTAACTTCAAAAATTATAATTTAACAATTATATTTTCAATATGGTATTGATGTGTTACCTCCAGATCTATAGAATAAGAGGGCTATGAATTTGAATCTTATTTTCGTATATTTTTTTTGTTCATTTCTGTCTCAAGTTGAATTATTTAATTTTTTATTAATTGGTGACTCAATATAATTTTTAGTTTGGATATTGTTTATACACAATAACTTACACTTATTGATATTTTTTTTAATTTATATATTTTGAAAAAAATTGTCAATTTTTTTAAAAATAATGAATAAAAATTATTTAATATAGTAATATCAATTTTTTTTAAATGCTCGAATTATATATTTCTATGGGACATGAGTTACATCTAATTTCCCTATATATTGTATCGCACGTCGCTGTGTCTTTACATCTCTCTCATGGCTTCCGACGACAAGGAGGTAGCCGTTGACCTCGCCCCTATCCTCCGAGTCTACAAAGACGGCACGGTGGAAAGACTCATTGCCTCACCCCACGTCCCACCATCTCCAGAAGACCCAGCCACCGGCGTCTCCTCCAAAGACACCACCATCTCATCACTCATCTCCGCCAGACTCTATCTCCCAAACCTCCCCAAAACCACCACCACCACCACCCAAAAGCTCCCCATCTTAGTCTACTTCCACGGCGGAGGCTTCTGCGCCGGATCCACCTTCTCTTTCTTAAGCCACCGATACATGAACCTAATTGCATCTGAATCGAAAGCTCTTATAGTTGCAGTCGAGTACAGGCTCGCTCCAGAGCACCCTTTGCCTGCGGCTTATGAAGATTGCTGGGATGCTACTCAGTGGGTCGCTTCACACGCCGTTGACGGAAATGATGATGGTGGCGATAAAGAACTCTGGTTGATCAACCATGGTGATTTTGAGAGGGTTTTCATTGGTGGGGACAGTGCTGGAGGTAATATTGTACATAACATCGCCGTGCGTGCTGGTATTGAGAGCTTTCATGGCGATTTGAAAATCTTGGGAGCTTTTCTTTCTTGCCCTTATTTCTGGGGATCCAAGCCTATGGGATCGGAGCTGACTGAAAAAAGTGAACAGATGAAGCTTTACAGGTAAAATAGAATTATACGATTTACTACTCTTTTGAGCAAATATGGTACCACTCTTTGTAGAATTATACGATTTCCTACTTAACCTTGCTAGCGTACATATCAAAAGGACTTAATTTATGCAAGATTGGGAATATTGAGTTTAGTTGAGATCAGATACTTCTTACTCTTAAGTTATTGATTCATGTATTAAATCTTAGCTCACAAATGATTTATCCTTCAT